CGTAGAGCCTTTTGTTTCTAAAGTTGTTGGGCAAATATCAGAATTTTGATGTTTACATTTTCTGGCAACCTGATGCAATAGATAAATGATAGGAAACTCAAGTTCATATAGAAATAAACATTCTGTTTCAAAATTACATTTTGGGATTACATGCTTTGTCAAATGTCAAGTGATTATAATTCCCCAAGTTTCTAACATGATACTTGCATATTACATTTGATTTCCCGACATATTTTTCCAAAGGTAGCAACACTTCAGTTTCTTCCATCTTCTTCATCTTTTGTACCAAATCCTTAAGGAAATAGACAACCTGCAAAAGAATTGACATACCACACATATAGAACAGATGAATAATGTATCAGTAAATTAGGATGGTTACATCTTTTTGTACCATTTTCTTTAGGAAATAGATCACATGCACAAAAAATATATCACACATATAGACCAGATGCAAAACATAGCAGTAAATTAGGATGGTCCAAGGTCCACACATCCGAATAAATACAACCAAGGTTCCAATGGAGATGACTCCATAGATGTCATGTTTAGGCAAAAAGAAGTCAAAGTAATTGTTTTTCACTTTCGTGAATACTTTTAGCAAAACATAAAGTCTTCAATTCGTAGCCTCATAATAATAACTTTTGGCTCCTCTATTCTGGTTCCTTCTTAATTTTGGTCTTCAACTTTTTCCGTTGGTAAAAACTGCCCCATCAAGTTCCTTTTCAAAGTCTCTTCTTCTTCAATTCTCTTACTTTTACGTTTACTTTGTGTTGGGGTGACACCATCCTCTACTTCCTGGATCAAAAAGGTACATTTCAAAATTAGCATTGCCAAAAAGTCCAGGGAAAGAGATTCATGGACCATAACCAATATACCTTATCTAGGTCAACAATGTCAACTGTTTAGGGTATGCTTCCCTCCAAGTTGTCTGCTGTTGAGCCGCCGCTCTGTAATTATTATATATTTAATTAATATTTCGTAAATAAAAGTAAAGTATAAGTTTTCATTCTTTTCCAAGTATGTACACAATCAAAGTAAATCCTGTACCTTCTTCATGTCAGAAATTTCTTCAAGCCCTTTCCCGTTCTCTTTTGGATTTTCATACACTTTCAAGACTTCCTCATCCCTAATCATTGTGATCACCCCATAGGAGATAGGACCTTTGTAAGAACTACTCTCAGCCTTGTTTTTTAATTGGACTTTAAACAGTCCTCTTTTGTCTATAATTGCCTCTATGTCTTTAAGGAAATGTGTTGGATCCCCAGTTCTCTATAAATAAGTTTGTAACAAATTATTTCTCATATTTGCATTTCACAAAACATAATTGACCCATCAATAGGAGAGATCATAATTTATACACCTGCTCAACTTCGGTCCTTAGGGCTGCTGCTGTTTTGCCCAGCATATCTAAGCATTCCCTATCCCAAAGTGTGAATGATGAATGACCGGAATCATCCATCACGCACACAGTCACTTTGTACCTATAATATAAAATGTTATTAAGAATAACATCTTGTCATAGTCAAGGCAATGAAGTTTTCCGAACAAAACTTGTTTTTGGTGGTATACCTTAGAATTCCGTCTGGAAGTGTTAGGTTGCAGTAGAGGCAAACAAATCTTTCATCATCTGCTTGCAGTTTTTTGTTGCAAGTCTTGCAACTCAAGTAACACCATTCTCTAAAGTTTTCAATTGAGACTACATCCCCCAAGTCCAGTACACTCCTTCCTGTATATTTAAATCCAAAAAAAGCCGTTCATTTTTGAATTTTATTTGTTACAGTTATATCCATTATTACCTCTGTTTTTTTTAACCAAATCAGCAATGGTTGTAACAGTCAAATTTCCTCCAAGAATATATTCCCGACTTTCGACTTTTGAATTAGCAGCGATAGTAGTCAAAGTACCATTATCCCTCTCCTCTGCTGGGAACATGTAATTTACGTATTTTTTGACAATTCTTCTATTTTGAAATTTGTTTATAATGGAAGAATATGGTAAACACATATTGTCCCTTGAAGTCCACCAGCTCACTCGTGTTTCCATTAATTATTAGTTTGCTAGCATCGTATGAGGTACCAACTTAAATGGTGCCTGAAATACAAAGTGGTTCAGTAGCATAATACACATAGTGGTTGCTGTAAATTAAATAACACAAATATTACCTTTGTAGCGTCTTGCCCTGCACATCTGTACAATCACAAAAATCCCCTCCTCTTTGTGATCTTCGTAGTAGTTTAGAAAGTTGTCAATGTAGCTGTTCCATAGAGTGCAGCCCAGCCGGTTTCCTCTGTAAGAAAGAGGAAAATGGATAGTTATTTTTCCATCCGTGTTTGACATCTTTTAATGTCCAGTTTGTAAATCATTGTTCAACATGTCTTATACTTACTCTGTGTCCTCAAGAGAGAGCTCCATGAGCCTCTCCCCCTACCATTGATGATAAGGTTCTGATCTATACACTTGTTAACCACCTTTCCAATAACATCTGGCACATTAAAACTTTAAGTAAATATGTTTTACTTTTATTTAGTAATTTAATAATTTTTCAGAAAAGATTCAGTTAAATATTACCAATTAGTTGTTTATCATCAACAACCCTCAAGGTTTGTAGAACTTCAAATGGCTGAAATTCAAACACACTGTTTGGCACAATGTCAGGATTAATATCCTTGACTATAGTCTTGCCATAAAATTCGATCAAGTAGGCATGGTTTGTGGCTTTGTAAGTGTAGTAGTTATCCATCACCAAGAAATCCCTAATTGCATAAACCCGTTTTCTGCAATCTTAGACCTAAACAAACGTAGTTGAGGCCTCTTTATCAAACCGTGAATTTTGTCTCCCTGCATATTCAATTTGTGTATTAAATATACAGAATTATCTTCTAGATGCAATGGCTTGTACTTTTAAACTCAATCTGTTGAGAGTGTATTCAAACTTACCTGGGAGTCAATGAAAACCAACTCTATCCTCTGTCCTCCCCTGGACTGAGGTGGCATTTCATAAGCTCTCACAACCTTCACTTTGATCGCCCAAGTTGTCTTGGTGTGATCCAAGTCCCTGAGAAATGAGAAATGTCCTTGGTTTGCTGCCATTGAAATTTGTTGCAAGAGTGGATGATGCTGTGTGGGATGGAAAATGAACTGACCCAAGAGCCTTATTTATACTGGATGACTTGCAATGGTTCTCACCCTGTTTGTTCAAATTTAAAATTAAAATTCGAACTCAAACCTCATTGTTGCCTAGCATTAATGCCTATGTACTTTAAAGATTTTATTTTATACTTTGGTTGGCTCAAGAAGATATGAAAGTACACATCATTTAATGCAAATCCTTTTGAAATTCGAAATCAGGCCGATGCATTAGAAATTACCCACTACTTTGCATTTAATGTTCAAAAAGATTTGAAAAGACTCATTGTAACCATAATAAATGCTACCATGCGGCCTCCCTATGCAGCAGAAAATAACTATTTGGCTGAATTATTGTACTTTAATGGCAGACCCGTTTTTTACCTGGATCCGAATTCTTGACCCTCCTTTTGGGCGGGAATTCTTGTTGTTGTTCCACAGCAGTTTGTATATAGGAAGATATTCGAAGTGTTCCTTCAAGGCTACACCTTTTTAAAATAAAATTGAAGTGCTATCCGCACCCATGTTTCAAAGTCAACGATTTCACTCCCACCCACATGATGTTTTTTAAAGAAGTTTTATTAATTGAAGAGATATTGCTTCGTACAGGATATTTTTAAAGAGTCTCATTGCCCATTGCAATTACCGTATTATTACGTAGTATTATTATTACTTATTAGTAATTATCATTGTTACTATTGTTATTATCATAGTTACAATTGTACTTCAATTTGTTAAATGTGTAAACCATTGGAGTAGTTTTTTTGTTTTTGTTTTTTATTCAACAAATCAATTTTTTATTATATTCAATTCGAACTTTATGACTTTATAGAAAATGAGATAATTATCCGCAGGGAATTACTTAATTAACTTTATCATCGGCCAGCCTTAAAAATCAAAAGTTGCAATTCGATTTGAGACAATTTGGGACAATGAAAGTACGTACATATATTTATATTTTATTAAATCTTTTTTATTGTAATAATAATCTCATACTTCGTATAATATATTACTTGATATTCTACAGGGAATTTGCCCTAAATTGGAGTAAAAATGTTTGTATATTCTAAAATTGGACTGTTATATTTTTGTTCCCTAAATATGAGTAATCTGATACTTTGATTGTACAAGACTTTAAACATGACAGCATTTTTCAATTTGACAGTAATTACTCTTATGTAAGGAATAAAAACATGACAGTCATATTTTATAATTTTTCCAAGAAAAAATTAGTCATATTTCATTATTTTTTCCTATGTTATATGTGCATACATAGACCACCGATGCCTAGATCCACCACTGACCAAAAGTATAAAATTTTGAGTTACTCTTCAATGACATTGAAAATTCTAACTAACTGTGAAAGAGTTGCACGTTTTCTGCTTTCTTTTTTTTTACACATATAACAAAATTGATAAGTACTTTACAGTTATATGAAATGCATATTGATAAACCTATACATGGATCATGTACATGGATCATATGTGAATAGAGTCTCCTTATAACATTTTTAGGAGAAATAAACTAATTGACATTTGTATGATCAAGAATGGCCTAATGTGAATCCCTGAAGAGCCACATTATCCTTTGGTGGTGCAGGAAGAAGCTGTTCCAGGGCAGCAAGAACATCAGCCATGGCAGGACGAGCCCTCGGGGCTGTGTGGAGACACTTCAATGCAAGAGCAGCAGCAGCTTGGGCACCTTTTCTGGAATACTGACCACCTAATCTTGTGTCCATGATTCTCATCACCTTCCGGCTCTCACTTAGGAAAGGAGATGCCCATTCCACTAAGGTTTGTTGAGCCGCCTCATTCTCATATCCGCATGCTCTTCTCCCCGATAACAGCTCCAGTAATACAACCCCGAAGCTGTACACGTCATTTTTCGAAGTCAAGCGTCCTGTACTCACATAAATTCACAATTTAGTGAATGTAGCTCACACTGAAGAATGTGTCAGCTAAATATAAAATGATAGACCAACACATTGGACCACATCGACTACTAGATTTACTTTTCGCATGAGTTGGTTTACTTTATGAGCCCATATGAAAAATAAATGGTCTAAAACACATGGTTTAGTGTCTGGCAATAAGGGGCGTTGAAGATTTAATCTCGCATCAGATGCATATAAAACGACCAACTAACCTATAAAACTTTGGACTTTCATTCTGATTATCTTTTGGAGATGGAAGTAAGAGAACCTCAACTCTTAAAAAGTACGGAGTAGGATGGATTTAAACAACACTAGTAAGACCTTACTATTTACTAAATACTTGAACCCTGTCGATTACCTGATCGTCATTGCTCATATGACTCATTTTCATCCCAAGAAGTAACTTTAGACACAAGGAGGAGCAAATATGTAAAGAAAGAAACCTGTGGCCATGTATTCAGGTGCAGCATAGGCCCGAGTCCCTATAACCCTTGTGGAAACATGAGTTTTATCACCTCTAGGACCATCTCTCGCCAGCCCAAAATCGGACAGCCTTGCGTTGAAGTCCTGTAAGCCGCACACAGTTGAACAAACATTAATGGCTCGAGCCTGACCAGAGCTACATACGAGGCTCATAACTAAATATGCATGCTTGCATATAAAACGAAATAATCTAACTGCAATAGGTGGGTAGGTAGGTAGGTAGGTAGGTATACCGAGTCGAGAAGAATGTTAGAAGCCTTGAGATCACGGTAGATCACATTGGTGTCCAAACTGTGTAAGAAGGATAGCCCTCTTGCAACATCTACCGCAATGCGCATTCGTGTTGCCCAAGTCATGGGTTGGACTCCTTCTGCATTGAGAATCACAAAGCAAGAACATTGTCAGGCATATAATTCACTGCAAGTCTGCAAATCAGCATGATTAAATGACATACTCCCTCTGTTCATTTTTAGAAGTACATATTGGTTCAATGTTTTTTTTTTCTATTTTTCTACCTTTTGGTCTCTTTTTTCTGCTTTGTTAGAGAAATACAGAGTATTAGTTTAAATAACCATAGAAAAATAATAATGTGTTCTTTAGAAGCCAATTTCGGTAATACCAACGATTTAAGTAGATAATGGATGATACAGAGTCACTTTCTCACTACAAATCTATTCATGTAACTCATCAAAGACTTATATAGTCATCAAATTCGTGACCTCATTTCAAAATAAGCTTCATTTGAAAGACAAATATTAGTTTATGATGGGTTATGACTCGATTAATGACTAATACTTTTTTATGCATTCAAATAAACTGAAAGTGATTTTTAAAGTGAGTTTTATTGATAATTTACGAGCGATAATTGGTATTATTAAAGTTACTTTCCACTTTTTGAAATTTATTTACTACACATATAATTATTCTCAGATGCCATAGAGATCCTATTAGAGCAACTCTGATTTCAAATTGTTAAAAGTTCCATACAGAAACTTAAAAACCACATATGTGATCTTAGGTTATAGTAATTTGATTGGATTCAATCACTGGTTTGATTAATACATACAAACATTGTAACCTCATTGAGTGACTCCCTTCACACTTCCAGTTATACCCCAAATCACTGGGACAAATCAGGTACATGCACCATTTCCAATTAGAAGGTCTCATTTTTTCCACTAGACAATGCCCCTTGAAATTGTAAATCTATCATAGGAGTGGTTAAAATCCAAGTTGCCCCTCAAACCAACGAAAAAAATATGTATAATAGGGAAAAACATTGAAAATTTACTTACTACGGAATAGATGATTTTCCAAGCTTCCTCTGGGCATAAATTCATAAACAAGGAGTTTATTTTCACACTCCGAGCAATACCCGATCAACTTCACGAGATTTTTGTGGTGTAGTTGTCCCAAGAAGTTAACCTCTGCCTGAAAGGTTGAGTTGAATGAATGTCATTAGCCAAACATAGCCCCAAATGGAATAGGCTAACTTAGTTGAAGTGAACAAATGAAATCACATACAACCCATTCTCTGTGACCTTGAAAGCTATCAAGCTTAAGTTTCTTGACAGCCACTACCATACCGGTTCCTGGCTTGCAGGGAGCAAAAGTCTTCTCATCTATCCACCCTTTGAATACAAGGCCAAATCCCCCCTCCCCGAGAAGGCTATCAAAACGGAAGTTCCTAGTCGCGGTTTTCAGGTCATTGAATGTGAATGCTTTGAGGTTAGAAGACATAATAGAGAGGTTTGGATTGGTAGTAGTACTACTAGTCGGAATACTCTCATAATGACTTGTTCCCTTTTTCTCTCTGTCAGCACAAGAAATCTTAGAATCTGGGACAAAAAGTGAATTACATGAGAATATGCATTTTTGTTCAGCACATAACAAAGATGGAGTAGCATGTGATATTGGCAATTTTAGCTCATATATCTGATCATAAAAATATCACTGCATATTGAGAACTTGTCTAAGTTTAACATATTCAGATTGATATGTTGATTGGTAGTATCTTATTATAAAAAGACAAATTAAAGCTAGTAGTAGCTTACTAGCTTATGTTGAAGAATTAAAATCAGAATAAGTTTTCAAAACTGGTCTCCCCCAGATTCTAAAAAATTGCTTCTACGAGTATTTTGGAGCCCTCTGAAGTAAAAAACTGCATTTTCACTAAACACTACAACATATGTTTCTGCTTCCTGAAGGAGTACAAACAGTTTTACGAAGTAGATCCAAACACCCTCTTAAAAGAATAATGTAACATGTTTTTATGTTGAAAATAAACTCTAAGTAGTGGCGGGCAAAAAAGGGTTTGTAGGGGAAGCTGTCCCCTGCCTCCATTTTAAAATAGGTATTTACTCCAATTTTTAATAAATAATTAAATATACATATCAGTAGCCATTATATATTTATTATAATTTATATGCAGTGGAGGAGCTGGGGAGGGGCATGAGAGGGCAAGCGCCCCCGCTTCGGGCAAAAAAATTTACTACTACTACTACTACTTATAATATAATTTATGCCCCCTTTTTTCAAAAATAAATACCAATTAAAGTTCGTTTTAGATTAAGTTTTAAAATAAAAGACAAAGTCTTTCAAGAAATGTACGTGTCTCTATAAATATAAGTATTGGTTGAAGCATATACCACACTCATTTGAATGCAAATGTGGATTGTTTTAGACCTTTAATGACACATGGGTTGGCTTTTCATGGTTGTAGCGAGCAAGAAAGTATTGAGTTTGACGAATATGTTGTACTATTTCTTGCAAAAAAAAGATTGAAACATTCTCGAGATTGTGTTGGATTCCCTCCTTGGTGGAGAAATTCATGAGAATTTAATAATTTTCATAGATGTCTAAGATTTTATATATGTGTGTAGAGAGAAGTATTGAATGTTCTAACATAATAATAATGTGGATTTTTTTAGAGAAGTGTAGAACTCACTAAAATCATGTGGAAGTGTGTGGAAGCCTCCAGAACTTTTTAAAGAATTGTGGAGATCTTAAAGTCCTTCCAGAAGATTAGAGAAGCTTATGAATAATGTCTGGAAGAATCTAGATGTGTAATGGTGTATAAAAAAATTCTAGAGAAGCTTTGATGAGATTAGTATAAAGAAGCTTCTTATTTGTATGAGAACCTTGAGGAGAGATGTTGACTGTTGAGTGAGTGAAAGTGAGAATCTCCTTAAAAGAGAAGAGTGAGAGCCTTCTTGTGAGAGAAGAACCCTCAAAGATATCGCTTGATAAAGTGTTTGTGATCGAGTTACGTAGAGTGAAGTAGTCTCAGATACAAAGAGTGAGTGAGGGTAATACAAAGTGATATTGCTACATTTAGTCTTTTTTTCCCAGGAGGCGTCGGGGGGAGGGGGTTTGGGGGACTTGGGGTAAACTGGGATCAATCTCACTCCATTGAGAATTGAACTCGGGACCTCCCATAAGGGAGAGTGAGTCGGCGATCAGCTTAGCTAGACCGCTTCCTCTTAGTCTTTGTAATATCACAAAGTGATACAAAGTGATATTGAATCTATTATACAACATTTTGAACAAATTAAAATTACTTGTATGTGTGATCTACCCAGATTACAGATATGAGTCAAGCATTATGTAATGACCTAATTTGTGCTAACAAATTACGCCTTTATTGTTTTTATTATATTTTGAGCAAATACACAATAATTCTTAATCTTCAGTTCGCCCCCCTCCGAAAAACCTCTGGCTCCACCACTGTTTATATGTACTCATCCTCCCAAATTATCACCAGTCCCAAATTATAAATCTTGTGTACCCTTTGAATGTCTGACATATACTTTTAAACTATAGTACTCACGTTCATGTTTGCAAACTATAACAAAAAATGAGAATAACACTTCTGTTTTCGGAATTTTGTTTTTAGTTAAGTAAAAAAAAAAAAGATAATAGTCTAATTGATTGACTAATATCTTCTATATGGTAGTTTTCATGAATTATGTAGAACATCTCTTGATTACTAAACAAACATCATGATTGGTAGGTACGTCAAAATTTGGTTGCAATTCAGTCTAGAAAACAATGACAAAAACAGAAAATAGTAATAGTTGGTGGGATTGGGGGGGAGGGTACCAGGAAATAGAGAAGAAGAAGCATGAGCAAGCTTAGCTGGTCTCCCCATGCAAATGCCCATACCTAAATCTTGTTAAAGCTGGGAATGAATCTATGGAGTATGGAGAAAGATGAAGAAAAGAGTTTTTTTTTGGCAGAATGAAGAAGAGTTGATTTGAATAATATTTGCGAACCCATTCTTACTTATGAAATCAGGTGTCAGAATATTTGACTGAATGATGCCCAACCTGTAAATGGGTAGTTGCAAATTGCAATATAATATTCTACTTCCCCTTTTAATCGCAACATGTTGAATTTTACATTATTCACATATACTACTTTGACTACATTTTATATTATTATTTTATAAAAATTATTTTTATAAAAAAATATATTTCAATTTATCTCATTACAAATTTTCAAAATCTAATTTTTAAATATTTTTTACTAATAGAGATTAAGATATAATTACGGTCAAAGACGTGTATTGTCAAGTATGAAATGTTGACCGTTGCAACTAAAAAAGAATGTTGAATATTAAAATGTTGGATATGTTGGATATTAAAATGTTGACCAACCCTGTGACTCTTATTACTATCAGCATTCATCCACTTTTGTTCCTTTTATTTTCACATTTATCTAATGCATTCTCTATTACTAAAAATGTAGAAAAATAAATTTCTTACGGAGTAGGAGTATAATTTAGGGTTGGTTTGAAAATGCTTTAAAAAGAGGACTTCTCAGTTTGGTTTTGTTAATTTAAGTACTTCTCCACTTATTTATTGATATCTTCATGTTTGACCAAAAATATGTATTAATACGAATATTATGTATCACAAGAAAATGGTATGGAAATTTTCTTTATTGAAATACTTGTAATTAAAATTAATGTCTCAATGTTAATCACTATTGATAAAGAAAGTCAAACCAATAAAATTTTACGGGACATAGGAAATAATACCAGTATATATTTGTTGAGGATGTTTATGTCAAAATTAATGTATAAAATAGGCGCATGTACTAACCAAAAAAGGTCAAATAGAATACACTTCGGCCAAGCCATCTAAAATATGGAAAACACATTCATAAAATAAAAAAATGGAAAACACATTCATAGAAGTAAGGTAAGTGGCTACTTTGGATGCTTAAAAGGAATAACTACAGATATATAATGAAAATGAAATTGCGGTGAACTGACAAGCCATCCTTTTCTTTGTGTCCCTATCCCTTTCCCCCTCATCCAGCTCAGTTAGCAGATCCAGTAATCTTCTTCTCAATTCTCGTCAGGAGTGTAGAAATCAAACTTGACATCAATGGAACCAGAATTTTCTCCAGTATCTTTGTACTCAATACTAGTGATAGTTCCAGTTGGATCCTCCACTTGGTATTCTGACCGCACGCGCCGAACCGGGACTGTGATAGAATAGATAGTCCCCAGGTCTGGGTCTGTTGAGACGCTCAGCTGAACATTATCCTGAGATTCTATCTCCACAAAATCAGACAAAACACTCACAATGTTGCTCACTATCTTCTGCTTGGCCTCATCACTCACAGCGCACCGATCAGAGAAGAGAATCATCTTCAACCGTTGCTTGGCGATATTTGCATTGGAATCCTTTCTTGATGGTGGTGGTGGAAACAGTACCTTCCAAGCCAAGCTAATGCGCTCTAGAAAGCCCATGTTGGTAATATTAAGAAGGAAGTGGTCAAACTCTTGGCTCGTGGAATTTGAGGATTGCTTGGAATCCCCAAGTGTTCTTATGGAGTGGCATTGCATGTTATGACCAGCAGGTGGGGCTTGTGTCCCTCTAAGCATGAGCTCAGAGGTACTAAAACCACCTTTAAAGAACACACCAAAGCATACCTGTATACAGGAATGAAATATTTGTTACATGAGAAGGGTCAAAGTAGTACTGAAGTACTAGAAATATGAGCACAAAGAAGAAACAAGTTAAACAGAGTATAGTACTACTGAACATCTGACATTGACTTTATAAATATTTCTAAATACTACCCTTGAAACACAGGCTTTATACAAGCATTTGTCCCAAAATTGTCCCACTTTGATCGGGCAAGGAATTTAAGACAGCTAAAGCAGAGGGATTAAGATTTATTTAGGAGATAGAACTAAGGTGAAACACATATTGCTTTCCACCTTTGAAAGGATAGAACTAAGGTGACCTTTCCTAATGCAAAGGTATGGTATGACATGTCACATGTGTGCAAACGTTGTCTTAGGATGTTTTCTTTTGGACTGAAATTTGCTGGTCTGGTCTAAACTAGTCTGTTAAACGTCTGGTCTCTGTGTATTTTATCACTGTCAAAGTTTGGTCTGGCCTGGTTCGTTTAAGTCTAGTATGTTTAAGTTTGGTCTAGGACTGAAAACAGCCCATAAGAAAACATTCTTAGCTAACCGCCTAACCTAGAGTATCTGAGAGCGCTAAATGTAGTTACTTGGCTGAATTGTAAAGTTAATCAAATGGAATTAGTGTGACTTTAGCCTTACTCCAATTAAGAAGATATGACTTATTACAAGTGTAAATGAACTAGATTATAAACCTTTAAAGGGCACATGAGGCTGATGCCTTGACACTCTTGTAATATGTAGTTGAAGGTTAATAGAAGCCCATAAATTCCTTCATAGTGACTTTCACTTTGAAAAACTATGCATGTCTTATAATTCTTGTTATCCTGTTTTTGCCAAGGTTTCTCGTTAACCCAAGTATACCCATTTTCCTGGTCACCATCATGATAAGTATATGATACTTTTATTAGGTATTGATTGTATCTCTATGATAAACGTGGTGACCACCAACCAGTTTGCAGATCACCGCCAAAGTTCAAAACTCATTTGGTACATTCTCTAATCAGGCCATTAGTGTGGCCTAGTGCACCAATTTGATGGCATAATGTACAGTCCATGTGGTTTTCTAATTAATAGTGCATCAGTAGCTAATCAGAGCCCACCTATCATCTATATCCAAATTTCATTAAACTAGAAACAGTGGGTATTACTATTGGCACACGACCCTATCAGTTATCGTTTCGGAAAGCCCACCTTGTACATTTCATGTAAGTTTAATGTTCTCTTATTACTATTGGCACACGCTTTTGTATTAATAACTGAACTTTATAAAACTTTGTACAAGAGTTACGGGTAGAAACATTAGCTAAATGACACATTTCAAATGGATGCAAATTAAGGATATCATGAATAATCATCCAATAGTTCTAAACCTACTTATAATGTAACAACTTATTTCTTGCCAATTTCCATTTCCCCTAAATAATCAATATAGGGAAATACGTATGATCATGGCTAACGATGAATAAAAATCAGCAAATTGATAAAAAAAACATCTCACCAATTTCATATGGATACAAATTAAGGATATCATGAATAATCAATAAATAGTCCTACATACTTATAAGTTATAATATAACAACTTATTTCTTGCGAATTCCCGTTTCCTCTAAATAATCAATATAGTGGATACGTGTGACCATGGCTAACGATGAGTATAAATCAGCACATTGAAAAAAAAAACATCTCATTAACCATGAATTTCTAAGAGATTTAGTGAACACACGGAAAAACCTTAGAAGGGGGAGTTGGATGCATTGAGCTCCGAAGACAGTCATTCGGGTGCGGGCCGAAAGCAGCTGAAACCCGGAAAGCCCCGGAAACGGCCATATTTTAAGTTCCAAATCCCCTTATTCGAGCTGTGGGAAGAATTACTGAGTCGTTTCGGGAAGACAACAAAGTTGAGGTTGAGTGGGTAGTGAGGCAGGTGAAAACAAACGGGGACCTGTGCAACAAAAATGAGTTTTTTTTCCGTCAAAACATGTCTCTATAAAAAAATCCAAGATTATTACGTCAAACAAAGGGAAAATAAAACAGACACTAACTGAAATTCCAACAACTACGACTGTAACACTATGGTGACACTTTGAGACGGTCTTCCCTGAGAGAGCAACACGAATCGCAAACATACCCAATGGCATAAAGAGAGGCAAAAAACTCAAACAAACTGTCAAACTCAACAACAAAAATGGACGCAAGAAAACAAATAACAAACAGATAAAAACTACAAGAAAAACGTTCACAAACTCTAGCACCTCGTGCATCCCATGGTGGTGGTTCAGGAGGAGGTCGTACCACTAGTACCATGCTAATTGATCCTCTATGATCTTTGGCTGCCAAAGACCATGCATCAATCCTAGGGGTGGGCAAAAATACCGAAATATCGGTATACCGCACTTACCGTACCGAAAAATACCGGAAAATACCGAAATATTGGTATACCGTCATTTTCGGTACGGTATCTTACCGTACCGATCTATTTCGGTACGGTAATGATAAATGTTTTCAAATACCGCGGTATACCGGTATAATACTGTACCGACTCTCTACTCAACAATTACTTTTAATTCTAATATATTGTAGAAATCCATTACAATTTTAAAGCCCAAAATTAATACTTAAGTTGGTTACAAATACAAAAATACAAAAATAAAGGTCCAATTTCTCAAACCCACTATAACCTTATAGGCTTCTACTTCGCTAACCTTAATGACTAATGAGTAATGTACAAATGTCAAGAAACAAGTCCATCCTGTTCCAAGAGCTTGCAAGTCGTGATGGCTGAGCCGCTAAGTAGCTGACGAGTGAAGAGAGATACACTTATGTGACAAGTGTATTTACATAGGGATTCCACGAGTCGAGACACACAACTTTGTCCGAAAGTCTTATTCAATTTTTAAAAAATTATAAAAATGACCGAATACACAATATCATATTAGGAATAAATGATTTTATATCCATATTGTTTGAATAGTTTTATTTTTTTTGTTAGAGATCACTATTGATTTAATTATATCTATATTGTTTAAGTTATTTTAGGAGAATGTGTAACTTTTTAATATGTGGCATGTTGAACTCCTTAAATATACTAATATAATAGTTATTCTTCAATATTGAATTGACATCAATAGATTATTAATTGTATTTCGTAACATTTTAATAATAGATTTAATATGTCGCTAGTAATAACGATTTAGTATATTTCGTTAGTCAATGATAATTTTTTGTATTGGGAGACATGCACGGTAATTTACCGATACTGTACCGTTACCGAACCGAAACTTCGGTATACCGAAATGCGGTATACCGAAACTTCGGTAAGGTAAAGGTATGCAAATTTTGCATACCGAAAGTTTTGG